GGGCTGGCCGGCATGTGGTGCTGGGGGATTGAACCGCGGTCCCTATGCTTTAGCTAAGCTTGTTCTAACTAGGTGCTTTAGACCACTGAGCCATCTCACCAGCCCTAAAATACAGCTTTAAAAAGGCCAGGAAGGGCAGGCCAGATAGGCAGAGCACAGCAGCTGGGGTTCAATCCCCAGCAGGGCGTGCTGAGATGGCCACTGAGACTGGGCGTGGTGGCACCCACATGTAATCCCAGCACTTGGAAGGCTGAAAACAGGAGAATCACTACAAGTCTGATCTACGTAGTGAGACCCTGTAGACCCTGTCCTAAATACAGAAAAATAAATAAAAAGGCCAGGCGATGCAGCTCCGTGGCTGATCCTAGGTCTAGTGTGAGATCCTCAGTACACAGAAAGACAAACGGCCGAGCACCGCACCTGTGCACTCCCTCAGTCTGGGCCATCTGTGCCCGCTCAGGTCACTCAGATCCAGGCGGTGCAGGGCAGGCAGGTGGCCCACGGGGGGCGAGGACCTCCAGCCTTGGGGACCATGTCTCCACAGAGGCCCACCAGGTCCCATGTGCCCGGAGTCTGACCGAGTCTGCAGCCATGATGCTCCAGACCCTGCCACTGGTGCCTGCAGGCTCATCCTGCCCAGTCCCTTCTTGGTCCCAAGGGGTCTGCAGTCCCCTTGCACACACGTCTGCACCAACCCAGCAAGGCCTGCAAATGCCGCTTTGAGTGCCCAGGGAGATGGTGGCACCTGGAGGTGTGCGTTCGGGAGGCCGCAGCTCCTGTTCCCCAGTCTTGTTTTGTGTCCCCAGACCACTATGGAGAGCATGAAGGGTTTCCCAGACCCGCTAGTGTGGTTCAGGTCCTCGCCACCCGTGACTCCTCAGCTACTCACCTGCTAGGGAGACCAGTCTGGGCTCTGGTGCTCATTCTGGAATGCCCCATTCACAGCAGTGGAGAGGGGAGACCTTTTGAGTACTTGTCTAGGTCAGTCTGGGCTTAGGGCTCATGTTGTGGAGGGACCCAGGGAGAACCCTGCAAGGGGGATCGGCCAGGCATGGCCAGGGCAGTGTTGGGTGCACCAACTATGCTCATGTTCCGAGCAGGAACACGACCCACGTCACAGTCCCGGGTTGATGTTAACTGTAATCATGAAGGATGAATGGGAAACTGAGGGTACCTGGGACTGCCCAGCCCTCTGCAGCTGTGTGCAGATACAATCTTTGTTTCCAAGGAGCAGGTGGGAAGGACCAGGCATGCTGCACCTCTGCGTGGCCTGTCGCAAGAAGGCTGCTAAGGCAGTTTCCTCTGAGGTCCGAGGCCAGAGGCCTGGCACGGCTGACGTGATGGTCCCCTAGTGGCTAGGGTGGGCCTAGCCCTGTCCTGCCTTGGCCAGCTCAGACTCCAGGCTACGGGATGGACCCACCCTGACACCCCTCCAGATGGGGAGGAGCAGTCCCCACTCGGCTGTGGCAAGCTTGGGGCAGGCTGCATGACAACACCTATAACTCCTCACATAAACGGGAAACACAGGTGCACAAGCAGTGCTGCCCTCAGGGTGGCCAGAGCAGAGACAGAGCCTGGTCCAAGCGCAGGGCCCAGAGTGCTGAGGCTGCATGCCCGGCACCCGCAGCTTGGGAAACCCTGCAACCAGGAGGCCCACGGGTTCTTGGGGACAGCCCTTCAATTCAGCAGCCAAACCTCCTGCTAATAGCTGAGAGGCTAAATCCCTAGGAGAAACCCAGGAGAGGCAGGGCAGGCTCCTGCAGGGCAGCCGCCTCAGCTAGGCTGGCATGGTGAGACACCAGCCTCCCCCCAGTTGCTGGTCCAGCTGCTGGGGGGGGAGCAGCCCACCCTAAACGCACCCTGGGCAGTGGACCTGAGTGGACCTGCGATTTGGACCTGGGCTGCCAGGGCTGCACACCTTCTCACCCCCTTCGGAGCATGCAGGGCCCTCAGATGCCACACGGGCTTCCCTTCCACAGCTCCTCCCAAGTATCTGGCCTCCTTTTGCCCGCTCCCACTCCCACTCCCCAGCTGTCCACTTCCCACAGTCAGAAATGCAGCCAAAGGGCACACACCAGATGGGCTGACGCATGTATAGCTGCTGGGGGCAGAAGGGGTCCCACCACTGTGGAGTACATGGGCAGGTTCCCTTCTGCGATTGCAGGCTGGAGAAACACACCGGGGTGGGGGCGAGGGCTCTGTCCCCATGCTGAGGCCTTCCTACTGGCAGTCCTGGAGCGCTCAGGCCTCCTGCGACCTCAGCACCCTAGCCTGGTCCTCATCCAGGATGAAGGGTGACCAGAGCTCACGGCCTCGCAGACAGGCCTCCAGACCCTGGAAACCAGCAGGACACATGGTTCAGTGCCCACCCCTCAGTGGCCCACAATGCCCCAGCTCTGCCTGGAGTGGGGGTCAGTGGAGGGCAGATGCCCCTCTCTCAGCAAGACTCCCACAAGACCTGCCTGCCTGAGCTTGGCCTGAGGTCGACGATGTCCTTCCACCACCCTCCCTCCGAACACCTCACTCCACGTGCGTCCCTGATGGTCCTCTGTAACCCTAAGAGGCCATCTACCCCACTGGCAAACTGAGGCAGCATTCCCCCTGCACCCACCTCTCCCTAGTCTTCCTCTGGCTCATGGAAGCCAGACCCCAGGAAAAGCCCAGACAGGGACAGGCATCTCTCACCTCTCCAGAGTAAGATACTAAGGGCGATATCTCGCAAATGGCTGGAGGGTCTCCATCCTGAGGCAAGCTGTGGAGAATGTGCTGGTCAGCCTCTGCCTCTTGGGGGTCCCAACACCCTGCACCTATGCAGGGGCGGCACACACCAGCCCCTGCAGGCCCCTTGTCTGCGAGCTCCTCCCCTGCGCCGTGTCCCGCCCGCAGCAGGCTCTGGTCTGGGCTAGAAAACGCACTTGGGCACCCAGTACAAAGCCTGGGCGGCTGGGCTCAGCTTGGCCCAGACCACCAGGACGCAGAAGCCACACGTCCTGTTCCTTCCCAGGCCAAGCCAGGCCACGCTGCTGCTTGCTGAGGCTCACAGCCAAGCCTCGGTGTCAAGCCGAGGACCTGAGAGAAGCTGGCCGACCGACCGACCGACCGACCGGCGCCTGTGCCCGGCGTGCTGGCTGCGCGGGCGGGCAGCAGGCAGGGCGCACGCCGCGCTCACCGAGGCTGCTCCGGAGCGCCGGCCCCGCGCGCGTCCCGGAAGCGGGCCCCCGCCTGCAGCGCCCACTGGAGGTGCCGCCGCAGCAGGGCCCGCCTGGCGCTGGAGGGGTTGTCCCTGGCCGCGGAGTCAGCGTTCTTCAGCGGGGAAAACTCCTCCTCCCGCGACACTTCCAGGGCAACGAAGTTCCTGGCAGGAGAAGGGCCGTCATCGCCAGTCCCGGCGGCGGCCCAGTGTGGGCGGGCCGGGTCGCAGGTTCACGGGTCCGGGAGGGCCCGCAGGCTGCATCAAGTCTGGTAGCCTCGAGCCATGACGGCCGGAGAGGAGCCCGGCGCGGAGAACACCTGGCTGGAGGTGTTCCCCGCCCGGGGGAGGCTGAGAAGAGAGCCCAGCGTGCTCCCAGGGCCTCCGCCGCCGCAGGCTCCCCACTGTCGCACCCCCAGAGACCCCTTCCTCTGGGAGCAAGAGCGCCCTCCCGGACCACCACTGCCCTGCCGGGCTGGGCCTCAGACCCCACCGCCAGAACAGAGAAAAAGAAGGAAAAAGATAAGTGACTTCTACCACTAACTTAGCAAACTGGAACACATCAAACACAAACTTCTCCATCTTTATCCCATTCGGTTTTAGCGGCTTTACCAGATTTCCCTCCTCGTCCACATACGGGACCTTCTTCACAGCCACGTGTGGTTTCAGCAATGGCTCAAATTCCCTGGAGCAGAGAAAAGGAGGTTCAGACAGGGCACGCGTGGGCAGCTGGGCAGCACCTGGCACAGGTCTTCCCCTGAACCCCCAGCACTGAGCACCAGATATCCTCAGCCGAATCCCTGCTAGGCTATGGGACCGGGCAAGCCCCAGGGGAGGAGCAAGGCGGGGGCACAGGGCCAGTTCACAAAAGACAGATGCCACCTCAGAGCGCGACCACATCGGGTCTCCAGGGCCTCAGCTTGTCCCGCGCACAACTTCCTCCTAACTCGTCCACCACTTCCCACCTCAGTTCCATCTCGGCCCGCTGGGGCTCTCAGCACCTCTGGCACCGCCAGTCGTTGGTCAGCGCGGGTGGCCCCGGCTTGTGCCGCAAAGCCCTCTGACGTCACACCTGGTGACCCTCTGCAGGAAGCCTCGGGTGAAGAAGTGATTGCAGATGTTGCCCGCATTATAGAGCAGGCTCCCATCGGCCCCACGCAGCCTGGCAGTCTCAGGGCTGATCTCGCTGTACTCCACCACTTGGGGAACGCCGTCCACCTGGCACACCACGCCCACAGGTTCCTCGGGGTAGGCCTTTTCCACCACCTGTGAACACAGCGAGGGGTCAGGGTTAGGTTGTACTTGGCAGTGCTGGGCAGGGGACGGACTTGTCCGGGTGGGGCCAGGGAAGGCGGAGGGGCGGGACACCGTGTAGTCGTGGCTTATGGGAAAGCGGCCCTAGGGGGATGGGACGCCCATGCATGCGGGGGGACTAGGCTCCAGGACCGGTCCGGCTTTGGGGGGCGTGGCCCACCGGAGGCGGGGACTTCTCTGCTGATGGGCAGGGCTCCGCGTGGGATCTGTGGGGTCTAAATGCCCCCCCCAGGGGCTTGGTCCGCTGTGGGCGGGGCCTTATGCCTTGTGGGCGGGGCTGGCTCGGCGGCAGGGCGGAGCTCTACGCCCACCTTGGCGCCGCAGTCTGCACCCCTCAGCACGCAGAAGCCCACGAAGACCGGATCCGCCAGTCGCACCAGGATGTTGTCCACACAGTACACGTGCACGTATTCCACTCCACGACGCTCCATGTCTTCTAGGACTCGGTGGTCGGCCAATGCGCGGTACAGACCCCCGTTGCCATCTGCAGCGCGACAAAGGAATGGGTCTTACCTCAGACATCAGTCAGGAAACGACCGATCCTACCTTCTCTGTCCCAAGAGCTCGATAGGTGTACCAGAGAGAGGGCAGGTGACCAGCGCACGTACAGCCTGGGACCAGGCCTCGTGCGCTCAGTTCCGGGCTGGGTGCCCATCTCGGGGTGGCTTACCTGGGGCCATGGCAACCTTGTCTTTCCGCTCCAGGATGGCCTTGCCGTCGAAGGTCACAGCAGGCAGCATGCGTTGCTCGAAAAAGACCACACTGGCAGGGTCCAAGTGGAAGAAGTCGTGTTCCCTGAAGAACTCGGCCGTGGGCCCCAGCGTAAACTCGCTGGTCATAATGTACCTGGCAGGGGTGGAGGGGCACGGGTGAGCCTCCTGCAGGGCCCAGCCCAGGTGCGGTCTGGCTCGGCGGCGCCGGACGGGGCAGAAGGACGCACCACGGCACAGTGCAGCGGGTCCCGTGGAGCTCGCCAGCCAGCTGCTCCACCCGTCGGATCCGCTCGGCTTGCAGCTGGTACAGGGTCTTTCCGCTGGGCAACCCCACCTGGTACATGCCTTTGGGGTAGGTGACCCCCAGGCGCGTGCCCTGCCCGCCAGCCAGCAGCAGTGCGGCCACCTTGTTCAGGGCAATCTGGCGGAAACCTGGGGGTGTGGGGCGCCGTGATAGGACCCCTCGGTGCAGGGCCAGGAGCTCCCGAGTCTTGTGTGGGAGGGAAGCACCAGACGAGGCAACTCCGGGCCCCTCCCGCCCCCGGGACCCAGCCCCACCCACCTTCCTCCTCCCAGCGCCGCCAAGTCTCGGCGTCGCCGCGGCTCGCGCGGCCTACGCTCTCGGGGGACAGCGGCCGCAGGCGCTCGGCCAGGCCGGGCGTGGGGCCGGGGGTGCGCGCGTAGGCCTCTGCCGCCAGGGCGCAGTGCTCGCGTAGAACATCGGGGTCCAGAGGCGCCAGCTCGGCCAGCAGCGCGGCGCGTGGCCCCGGGCCCAGTTCGTCCCAAAAGCGCAGCAGGTGGCTCTGGCCCGCACGTTGCAGCCCGGCGCGTACATCCACTTCGGAGGCCATGTCGCCGTCGCCACGCGCTGGGCTGGCACTCGTGACCCGCGCTCTCTGTCTGATCCTCTGATCGGCGTCACGGGATCCGGAGGGCTGGCCTAGCGGGCTCGCCGTTACCGGCCAGTCAAGTCTGGCCCCGCCCCATCCGATCCTGCCCTGCCGCTCGCCCTGTTCCTGTCTAACTGCGGGCCAGGACTCCATCTCTGCTATTCCCGCCCCCAAGACAGCCCTGCCTGGCCTTTGGTACACTTCCGGCTGGGTCCCTAGCGCCTGACCGCCCAGCCCCGGAAAGCTGGGGGTCCTCGAGTTTGTGCAGAAGGATCACACCATTGCGCAGGCAGAGACGGAGAGTGGGCACCCCGCTGGGGTTCCCAGCCGGGTCTGGACCTGCATGGGGTCCAGCTCTGCTGCCAGTTCTTCCATAGCCACGAGAGTCCATCCTTGCCAGGGTTTGGGCCTGAGAAGGGCCTGGCTGCTTATGCCCTCACCCACGGGGACGCCAGGCTGCCCGGGCTGTCCCAGGGCATAGGAAGGCCAGATTTGGGGCTGACTATGGCTGGTGGGTGGCTATTTCAACTATATGCCATATTTCAAGATACATAGCTGTCTAAAAAGTCACCTGTGAACAATATGAAGCCATAGCTTTGGCTATTTGGGAACAAACTTTCTTTTATTTATTTTTTATTAATT